GCACTTCACTGTAATGAAAAGACTTCCAAGACCTGATCACTGCTCCACAGTAACTGTGCCTTCCTGATCTTATTGCAGCATCGCCACCATTTTCCCTTGTTTATCTGTTAATAACAGATCCCCATCATAGTAACTGGAGAAAGAGCAGGAGGAAGAGGCGGGGGGTCAGGACACGAGCTTCCTCAAAGGCTTTAGTCCGAGTGTTTTCCTTGCACAGTGGATGGGGCTCCAGAGCCCTGCCGGCCTTGACTGAGGGAACTCACAGTCCTCCTTAAAGTTGGTGAAGACCCCACAATCCTATCCAAGTGACTTCAGTTATTCAGTTATTTTAGAATTAAATACAGTAATTGCCAGTCTCCACGAAGCATTCTTTGTTGAAGTTGCTTGAGCTGTTCAAGCTGGGATATGACACATACCAGTTTGTTCCAGCCAAATTTGTGTGGCAAATGCTCAATGTGGAATTATTACAGGTATTGCCACTGCTCTGATTCACAGGTAGCCTGTGTAATATTTCAATCACTATTCTTCCTTTAAAATCTTTCCCAAATTTGTCTTGTCTCGAAAAAGAGTATTAATCACTCTTGTTTTGCCCCCTCTACACATCTATAATAATAAAAGTGTAATATGCTAATTAGACCGGACATCCTTGCAGGTGTCCTTCCAGACGAAGCCGGGGCTGTGAGGGAAGCCCGGGTCCCCGGTGGCAGAGGGAAGCCGGTGCTGGCAGCCGGGGGAAGGAAGGCCTACTCTTGCACGAATTTTGTGCATCAGGTCTCTAGTCTTACCTAATAATAGACAAACATGTAATTGACCATCCCTCCGCTATGCTCACCAGCCAATCAGGAGAGTATGCAAATTAACCCAACAAAGATGGCGGTTAATTTGCATACAGAGGCGCCAAGCACCAGAGTGAAGACTGAAGGCTCCGGCCGGAGCAGCGAAGACTGAAGGCTCTGGCCGGAGCGAAGGCCTGGGTCCCGGGTGCTGGAGGAAAACTGGTGCCGGCAGCCAGGGGAAGGGAAGGCCTATTGCACAAATCTCTTCGTGCAACGGGCCTCTAGTGTTTAATAAAAACCATATCTTTGGCTCTAAAAAAAGAAAAAAAATTGCCAATCTGATTTATAAGTATACTGTTTGTGTAAACCAGTAGGTTTCAGGCAGTTTTTTTAGTGGAACACCCAAGTTTTGATAATCCTTCGGATAAAGTTCTTCCTGACTTTTTCTGATTCTTTAATATGCAGGCAGGACGGAGGGCTGTGCAGAGAGGGCTGGGCGTCCATTCCTGGCCCCAGGCTGGCTGTGTGCCTGTGGGAAAGTGCTGTCCACACCGCAGGTTGCTACCAGATGGTTCTTTCCAGAGCAACAGTTTCTTTTCTTTCTTTTCTTTTTTTTTTTTTTTAGTTACCAGAAATTTATTAAAACTATGAACAGATACAAGTTTGGCAAAGAACAATACAATACAGGCTCAGAGGATCCCAAATTACTGGCCTTTTTTTTTCTTTCTTTCTTTTGTTTTTTGTTTTGTTTTGTTAATCCTCACCCAAGGACATTTTTTTCCATTGATTTTTAGAGAGAGTAAAAGGGAGAGAGGGTAGGGGGAGAGAAAGAGAGAGAAACATTAATGTATGAGAGACACATTGATTGGTTGTCTACCACATGTGCCCTGACCTGGGCTGGGGATCAAAACTGCAAGGTACATGCCCTTGACTGGGAATCAAACCCGAGACCCTGGGTCCTTGAGCCAAGCCAACCTGCCAGGGCCTTTCTTAATGTTTTCTCTTCAGTGACTTTAGCAGCTTTCTTAAAAATATTTATCATTTTTTCATATGATGCTTACAATTTAAACAGGTTATAAAAATTACACATGCTCTCTGTGATAGTTTGGAAAATACAGAAAAGAAGTAAGAATAAAACTACTGTCATTCCATTATCCAGGAATACTCTACATATATCTAATACGCCACTGAATTTTATTTTTTCATACAAATCTATGTGTATGTCTACATAATATATTTGGCTTTGTTTGTATAAAGTTTGAGTTATACTATACATATAGTTTTAATAACCTGCTTTTTTCCCCTTAAGAATATCATGCAATTTATCTCTATGTCAACAAATTCGGATCTGCACTATTTGCAGCCATCCGTGAACTATTATGATGTAAAAAAAAACAAGCCCTATTTGTTGGACATTAAAATTATCTCCCAATTTTCTGCCCTTAAAAATAACACTGAGTGTTTATGATGTATTGCTCCAAATTGATTAAAATAGGCATTTGTAAAACTTTTAACATTAATGTGTAATGTTCAGATGTATTTTTAGATAGAAATACTGAGATATAATTTTTTAAAACAGTTGCTTTCTGAACTCTCTGATGATAACACTTTATGAGAAGGTAAGTATAACGAAAACATTGTGTGCCCTTACATCCAAATTGAATATACAAACATAAGAAAGTGGAGTGTGAGAGCAGCAATGGCCTCCAGTGTGCGGTAGGAAATGTCACAAACGCTGTCTCTCTGATTAGAGACGAGGAAGCGGAGAACATGCTGCTTCACTATCTTTCCTACAGTCCGAGCGCACTTGGAGGACCCTCTCGAGAGGCACTCTGGATCGGAACCAGGTTCCTTCCCTTACGACCTGTTACTGCATGTCCCAGAGCCTCCGATTTCTTCTCTGCAAAGCGGAGGTAATGATGGCTCCGTGCTTGGAGGGCTGTTGTGAGAACTAAGTGAAATAATATGTATGAAGATTACATGAAACAATGCATAAGTATAATCCATGAACTGTATCATTATAAGAGCTCAATAAATGTGCACTTTATAAATACTATTATTTGCTTTTCTTAAACATCACAATAAAGTTACTAAAAGTTGGAGCATGTTTTGGGTTTTGCAGTGTGTTGTCAGAATTGGGGGTGGGGGCAATCGTCCACTGCTGCCCCCCTCCCTGTGGGCAGGTGAGTATCTAGCAGACAAGGACTCCTCACAGACATGCTGCTCTGGACTGGGCGTGGAGTCGGCCCGCTCTGCCCGGCCTTGGGGAAGAATTTAGTTCTCAGAGCTTCAGGCCTCTGAGCCATAGCATGGAGCTCATGCTAGTGCCTGCAGCACAGGGCTGTTGGCAGCACTCAGCGGCATGTGCGTGATGCAGTGTGAGGACCCAGTGAGGCCCTGGCGGTTGTCAAAGGAAAGGGCATTGTGCCCGCCCAGGCCCTGGTGCGACAGTGCACTCTGCGTGTGCAAGATGCTGTCCGTGGGGCAAGTCAGTGACGGGTGCTTGGAAACTCTGTTTTGTTTTTGAACTGTCTTGTGAGTCTAAAATTACTTCAAAAACTTAACATTTAAGAGGAACAAAAAAGAAAGAAATTAAAAGGGGAGTCCTGATGTACAAATCAGCAATGCCAGAGGCTCCAGCCGAGGATGTGCCTGTCTGGCACCGGTGACAGCCCCTTGAACTGAGGAAGAGCACATTCAGACCCCACGACCCTGCCCTTGCTCTGCCTGGCTCAGGCAGCCTCCGCTTACACAGAGCTCCAATGGGCTTGCCTGCAGGCGGGGCCTGGGGAGCCCAGGGGCCTGGGGCATGAAGGTTTTCATCCTAAATCAACAGGTTGGCATCCGGATGTCATGACCCAAACCTGGTTATCACAGTGCCCCGCTCCGCTTCCGGAGGGGCAGGCAGGTGAGGCTGTGGGTTTGCCAGGCTTCGGGAAAGCCTGCCGATCATCACTGGATCAAGGTAAGGTCACCTTGTGACCCCTTTTGGGACACAGTCAAGAAGCCTTCCCCAGACAGCAATCCCCGCCCAGTGGCACAAATGGAAGATTCTTTGCTTTTCCAGTTCTGGTTTGCATCGCTCCCAGTGCATCACAGGCCTTCCAGTGGAACTTTCCACAACAGGGCGGTGCAGCCAGTCCCACAAGCCCAGGAGCACTTTCACGTGGCGGGTGCAACTGAGGAACAAAATTTGTAATTACATTTAAATTCAAATAGTCACGCATGGCTGCTCGCTACTGTATCTTATAGTCCAGGTGCAAATGAAAAGTCTCTACACTGCTGTGGAGATTCTTGAAACATAAGGCTGGAAAGGTATACAAAAGATGTCTCAGTATATGCCCATATCCCTTCTCAGTAACATGTCTTTCGCTCTGAGAGCCTGAATGTAGGAGAGAAATGGTCTGGTTGTGGAAGACAGTGTTGGCCAGGGTTCTGATAAAAATAACGACAGCAAACATTAAAACAAGCACTTACTAGATGCCAGATGTTATGCTAAATGTTGAATATGCATTCTTTTCTATAATGCTCCCAACATCCCAAGATGTCATAATTAGAACAGCATCTAACACCTACTGCGCCCTCGCCAGGCGTCTGACAGGATGCTGAAACCTGACATGCTTCGCCCATGTAACCCTCACGCCCCTGCAGGAAGAGTACTGATGTTACCCCACGATAAGCCCTGTGATTTTGGGCAAGTTTCCTAACCTCTGAAAAACGGAAATATATCAGCTATAGATAAAAGTAGAACAGACATGTGTAAGTTAAAAAACACGAAAATAAGTGCCCGTGAGTCCAAGAGCAGCTTCTGAACACCAGTGCTCTGAGGGCCTCGGGGTTTGGGCGAGCGTTTCCTGCCGTGTCTGGGGTTCTGCCGCTGTGCACAGAGTCCGTGCAATTGGGGATGCTTCTCCTCCAGGCCCCGACCGAGACCGAGCCACGTCCTCAGGAGCCCTTCACCTGCCAAGTGCTGAAATCCACACTGCTCGAGGCAGAGACGGAATTTCTGTCCTGGGGAAACTCAGAGGCCTGTGCTGGGCGAGGCTCTGGCCACCGGGTCCTGGTGCCGGCCTCCTGTCGGGCCCTCCTGAGCCAGGTGGCCCCGCAGCTCCAGGCTCGGGCCTGTGTCTCATTTACTGAAGGGGGAGCGCTCCAGGCCCCCCACAATTCCTGCAGGAATCCCAGGACTGAGCCTGAATGGACCACTGTGGGCCACGTGCTCACCTCGGAACCAGTCGCTGTGGCTACGGGATGGGCGGTGTTGCTGGACAGGCACGTGGCATGGGCTGGGTGATGAGATGCGCACCAGGCCATCCTTCTCCGGTCCCTGGCGCGGGCCTGGGAGGCGTGTTCTCCTAAGGGGAGGGGAGACCCGCGTTAAGCGCCCAGCCTGTTCTGTCCGTGCCGGCGGCTGACATGGCGCTTAGTGTGTTAACAAAGGAAGGGGGCGCACAGGGGCGTTCAGGTCCCGGCGGCAGCCACGCACAGGAGCGGACTTGCTGCAGCTGGACCCTCGCAATTGCTTTAGAAACAAACGGCACCTCAGCAGCGCCCTGTGCTGCTCCCGCAGGAAGGCACGGGGGCCTGCACGCTGGGTTATCGCTGCACACCATGCGCTCTGACTCTAAAAATGCACTTTATATGTTTAAATTGGGTGGTGATTTCTTTATACCAGAATGAGGTAAATGAAAAAGAAATTAGTGGGTGCTATTTCAGAGATGAGTAGCACAGAGATCAGCAGAAAAAGTTAGAAACAAACAAACAAAGCAACCCGTGATTACTCATAATAAAGATAACCCCCAACAATGAGACCTTAGGGGCTAACGGGATGAAGTATTTATAGACCCGTTCATTTGTTTGTCACTGAAACTAGTCTCCATTCTTCACATTTCTCCCTTTGCTTCTATCAGAAGCCATGGAAACAGCCCCCTCCCCCACCTCCCCGCAAATGGATTCGCCTCAGCATTTACTGACCTTTTCTTGGCATATTCTCTGACTGTGGCCATGTCGGTTGTGAAAGAATGTGAAGAACCTGATAATAATGCTTTCAGAAGACAGCAGTGTAAAACCTGGCCTTTAACCAGTGATGCAGTTACTCTGTAGAGTGTGTGTGTACATACACATATATGGCGATTTTCCCATCTTAAAATAATCATATTTCTCAAAAAGACTCTTGAAAGGAAAACAGTATGCCCCATTCTATAGACCTATTTTCCTAAATCTACATGTGAATTGCATTTTTGTAAACTGAATCATCATTTAAAGTCCAAGGTAACTAAACACATTTCAGTGAATCATGACATAATTTTAATTCTAAAGGAGAAAAGTATGTTGGAACGCTCTTGTGTAAGTTTCTCCATTTACAGATGTGAGAACTGATATACAGTGAGAAATGACTTCTCCAGGCACACTCACACTGGGGTTCTTTTATGATTTGTACTAATATATTTTTAATTGCAGATTTTGTTTGTAATGTTTACATCAAAGAAGGATGAAAAGAGCTGTCTTGTAGTTTGGATGTAATTTATCCTTAATTGTAAAGTTTGTAGATAATTATTATAAAACTTATAAGTTTTAAATGGCTTTTTGAAATAAAAAGGTCACACGTTAAACCAGTGGTTTGCTACTGGGAGAGATTTTGCCCCCCAGGGGACATGTGGCAAAGTCTGAGGATATTTTTGTTGGTCACAGTTCGGGGCAGGGGACCCTAATGGGGTAAACATCCCCCAGTGCCCAGCACAGAGTCCTGCCTCTGGTGGCCTCTGGAACTGCACTCTCCATGGTTCATCACGACACATTCCCTGTGTTCCCGCCCCGGGCCTGGGCAGGATGGCACTCCTTAGGGAAGGCTCCCCGCCAGTGCAGTGAGGACCTGGGGCGGGCCTCTCCACAGCCCCCACCGCCATCACAGGGAGCCGGGTGTGCAGGAGCCCGCGGTGGTCAACAGGAAGGGCGAAACCAGGTCTCCAAGATGGGAGAAATTGACCAGAGGAAGACCCCGAAGCTCATCACACCATCTTCATCATGGACACTAACCCACAAGCAGAAGGGGGTGGGAGGCGATTGCCCTGACCCCTGAAGGGCCCCTTAGGGACAAGGCGCCACAAGTTCAAAAGCTGGGAACATGTAGAATCCGAGGACGCGACAGACCTGAAGGTTCCTGGGCCTTGGCACCCACTGCGTCCACCACACCCGCTATGCCCACTGTGCCCGCTATGCCCACTCCACCTGCTATGCCCACTGCGTCCAATCCACCTGCTATGCCCACTGCACCCTCTCCACCCGCTATGCCCACTGCATCCACTCCGCCCACTCCACCCACTATGCCCACTGCGCCCACTCCACCTGCTATGCCCACTGCACCCACTCCACCTGCTATGCCCACTGCGCCCACCCCACCCGCTATGCCCACTGCGCCCGCTTTGCCCACTCTGCCCACTCCACCCGCTATGCCCACTCCACCCGCTTTTCCCACTCTGCCCACTCCACCCGCTATGCCCACTGCACCCACTCCACCCGTTATGCCCACTGCTCCCACTCCACCCGCTATGCCCACTGCGTCCACTCCACCCGCTATGCCCACTGTGCCCACTCCACCTGCTATGCCCACTGTGCCCACTCTGTTCACTCCACCCACTATGCCCACTGCACCTACTCTACCCACTATGCCCACTGCGCCCACTCCGCCCACTCCACCCGCTATGCCCACTGCGCCCACTCCACCCACTATGCCCACTGCATCCACTCCGCCCGCTATGCCCACTGCTCCCACTCCACTCGCTATGCCCACTGTGCCCACTCCACTCGCTATGCCCACTGCTCCCATTCCACACGCTATGCCTACTGCGCCCACTCCACCCGCTATGCCCACTGCATCCACTCCACCCGCTATGCCCACTGCACCTACTCTACCCACTATGCTCACTGCGCCCACTCTGCCCACTCCACCCGCTATGCCCACTGCGCCCACTCCACCCACTATGCCCACTGCACCTACTCTACCCACTATGCCCACTGCGCCCACTCCGCCCACTCCACCCGCTATGCCCACTGCGCCCACTCCACCCGCTATGCCCACTGCGCCCACTCCACCCGCTATGCCCACTGCGCCCACTCCACCCACTATGCCCACTGCATCCACTCCGCCCGCTATGCCCACTGCTCCCACTCCACTCGCTATGCCCACTGTGCCCACTCCACTCGCTATGCCCACTTCTCCCATTCCACACGCTATGCCCACTGCATCCACTCCACCCGCTATGCCCACTGCGACCACTCTGCCCACTCTACCTGCTATGTCCACTGCACCCACTGTGCCCACTCCACCCACTATGCCCACTGCGCCCGCTATGCCCACTGTGCCCACTCTGCCCACTCCACCCGCTATGCCCACTGCGACCACTCTGCCCACTCCACCCGCTTTGCCCACTCCACCCGCTTTGCCCACTCCACCCACTATGCCCACTCTGCCTACTCTACCCGCTATGCCCATTGAGCCCACTCCACCCGCTATGCCCACTGCATCCACTCTGCCCACTCCATGAGCACGCACTTCTTTCACAGCCGGTGGGTGTGACTTGCAACGAGGCCGCAGCCACCCTGCTCACTCCTGTCTCCAGCAGCCCATCCCTGCCTTTCTCCTCCACCTGAATGCAACCTGCTTTCCTTCCCACTCCCGCTGGGTCTTGAACTCTTTCTTGAGTGAGTTAAGAGCCTGGTGCACCACCTGGTCTAGTAACGTCCCTCTGCAGCCCCCTGGGTGATCACTGTGTCCTGAGAAGGTGGCGGTTCTGCCCACCTGTGCTGGCCCCTTCTCCCTCTCTGCTCTCCCTGAGCCTCATGGACTGCGGCTGCCCACGGTGGAACTCCGGCGGGACTACTCTCAGGCTTCTGCAGGGCTTCCCTCTGCTTGTGAGGAGCCTGGGTGCCTGAGCCTGCATCTCAGTGGCAGGACCTGCAGCCAGCGACCTGCTCACACCGGAGTGAAACAGCCCAGTGCCCAAGCTTGAGTCAGGAAAAGCCCCGCGCTCCCTGAAGAGGAAGGCGGTGGCGGGAGTTTTCCTGGGAGCACCCCTGGGCCTGCCTTCTTGCCTGATCCTCACACCCCGCCTTCAGACCAGGGTCTGCTGGGAACGCTGCGTTCGGAACTCATCTGCAGCCCAGCCAGATGTCAGGTAGTCAGGTAGTCAGTTGGTTGGAGCATCGACCCCATATGCCAAGGTTTTGAGTTCAATCCCTGAGTAGGGCACATAAAGAATCAAACAATGAATGCATCAGCAAGTGGAACAACACATCGATGTTTCTCTCTCTCTCCCTCCCTCTCTCTCTAAAATCAATCAATAAATAAAAATTAAAAAAAAGAAATTCTTTGCATGAGAATCTCTGTTTCACAGTCTGCTTCCAGGGGACAAGCCATGCTGTGTGTTTTTTTCCACTCAGGGCCTGGTACGGTGCCTGCCTGGAACATAGTGGGGCTTGAAACCCTCTGCAAGATTGGTTTAAAAACACACAACGTTGAACTTGATCAAATAACCAATTTTAATGAAAAGACACATTTAATTTCAGTCAATTTCATATGATTCAGTAAAAATTCAATACCTAATTCTCTGTATAGGTTTTATTCTATCTAGTGAAACTCAACTTCAAAATAGCCTGGCCAATTTTACTTAAATTTGGGGTCATGGCTCAATACAGGGTTGGGCAAATACAAGTTTACAGTTGTTCATATGGAAAATAATACAGTAATTAATATTAAGTACCAGAATAAACTGTGTTTTGCATGCTCACAATGTGTAAGCCTAATTCTCTCACACCCCGCATGGGAGGGACTCGGCTTGTAAAGTGTGTATCTTTCACTTAGCTTAGGTTCTCACTCAGAAGTCCGGAGTCCCCCTACTAGACACCACAAAACCCTTTTTTGGTGGGCAGGTGGCTACACTTGTAGCTCAGAAGCAAAGACACAGGCTACCTGGAATTACGCAAATGAGAGCCAGAGGCCAGGAGGGTGGGTCTCAGTGGGAGCCTCTGTCTCCTGTGCGTGCTGCCCCCGGGCTGCTCGCTGCCTGTCATCACCCAGAAAGCTCTCCAGGGGAGGCGGTGCTGACCCCTGGCTCAGCGCCTCCCCGAAGCGCGGGGAGCCTCCTGAAAAGTGGAGGCATGGACGAAGGGAGCCTGGAACCGGCTGAGGACTGTGACTGGGAGTCAGTTAATTCTTACCTCCCACTGGCCTTGTCTCCCCAGGAGCCACAGAAACATTTTCCTGTCACAACCTGCTCTTGGCTCTGGACGTGGACTCCCCAAGTTTAAATTCCAACACTGCCACCTTCACGCTCAGTGATCCCGGCCACTCACCCACTCACTCCACCCCTCGTGGCCTGTTTCCGATTTATGGAATTCAGGGCCCATGAGAGTGCAGGGCCTTGGTCTCTCTCTCTCTCTCTCTCTTTAAAAATATGTTTTTTTTGATTTTTAGAGAGTAAGGGAGAGGGAGAGAGATAGAAACATCCATGATGAGAGAGAAACATCATCAACTGGCCATTTCCTACATGCCCCTCACCAGGGATCAAGCCCACAACCCGGGCATGCGCCCTGATGGGGAATCGAACCAGTGACCCCTTGGTTCCTGGGTGGACGCTCAACCACTGGGCTCTTGGTCTCTTTTTGGCCTTGATTGTTCCCAGTGAGGACACAGTGTCTGGAATGCAGTAGGTGCTCAGTAAGTATTTCCTGATCAAATAAGTGGGAGAGTTTGTGATTGTAAAGGACTGCTTAACATGGCGTCTGGCCTGAAGCGATCCCTCAGTGGATATCAGCTATAAGTATGTAAAGGAATCGTATGCATATATACTTAACGTTATGTTTTAAATCTGGGAACATAGTTTCTGAACAGAATGAAACATGTTGGAATTCCTCCTCTTGATGACTGGGCATCTCCGTGTTTCTGACAGTAGACGGGGGGACTGCCGCCCTCCCAGCAGCCCCTTCTCCCCTGCTGTTCCCTAATCTG